TAGTTTTTCATGCTGATCACGAATTCGGCCTTTATTTTGAGAAAAAAAACTGAATTTTCAATTAAAAAATTTAAATTTAAAATTTTTGAAAGTTTTAATTTTAGGACCTGGAGATTTTCGTAAAAAATTTTTAATAATACACCGTCGAATAGAGAATTCAATTCTCTACAAAATGGCTCATTTTGTTTTGAGAAATATTTCTCAGTCAAGGCACAAGGGCTGCTTGCATGTTTGAACTTCCGACTCGATTTAAATCCTGAGGCAACTTTTTGGAACTTTATTTGTAAGTGAAGTATCTTCAGGAAGGCCAGAAGTACTCAAGCTATAAGTATGAAGTTGTTTGAACAACGCTGAGTGCCCTAAAATGGTGTGACAAAAAAATGCGTAACAGCGTTAAGTTTGTTTTTTGCTTCTTTTACGCGAGTAAAACAGTTAGAAGAAAACTTTTTTTACCGCTGAAAAGCTCGTTCGACGCTCTATAAAATTTGTTCATCTGGAGAACGACTTTTTTAAGTAAACGACCTGGTTTTAAGTAAAACGTCGGGTAAACTGATTGGTTTGGTTGATGTTTTCTTTTTTAAGCTCATAAGTGCTTAAGACAGCCTAAAATTTTTTTGTTATTATCTTTCGAGATTTGCTTATTCAACATGGTGAAGTTCAAAGTTAATTTTCTACGAAAAGCAAAAACATTTGGTAAATATGGCCGGCTTTTTGGAAAGTGAACGACTTATGTTGACTTTTTCAGAAAATTTCGTGAAAACAGTTGAAAAAGAGGCTATCAAAGCCGAAGCCGTAAAATGGCGTAATTATCCTGGTGTGAATAGAGAGCTGCATTCGAAAGTGTTAAAATTCGTTCAAGAAGGTAACGAGCGTAATATGTGTGCAGTATGTGTACTCAATTTTACTTTGTTTAGATCTACAAACAGGTGAATTATCAAGACACTACCCAGATAAATCACATTCAAGTTTTCAATATCGATTACAACGTGATGACGAAGACAACGTTCAATTGAGAGTAACAATACCATCTGAAGAAGGAACATTAAGTAAGTATTTATTTTTATCTTAGTGAAGAAGCTGATCAAAGAGCACAACCGAAAAATGGCAGAAAAGAAGCTGAAAGACAACTAACAGCAACAGTAAAGGTGAAAAAACGGGGTCGACCAATAAAAAAAACGGCGTCCACCTCTGAACAACAATCGACAAGTGAAAACGAACACAGGTGGAAAAAAACGTCGACAAACGAAAAACATCCGTAGCCACACCAAAACAACAACAAGCAGAAGACGATGAACAGCCATTAGATGATCTGACAAACGAAGGAGGTGACAAAGGCGAGGATGAAAGTAAGCAGCTTGATACTTAACGAGATTTATTACTGAGGTTCCTTGAATATTTCAGGTTCACCAGTCAAACAGACCAGAAGAACTCGTCGTGTGCTGCTGCAGCAAATAGTCTTGCACAGAGAAATTGACGGCATGAAATCGTATTCATTCCTCATCATTGAACCATTCCCCTTTTCTCGTGTGTCATTTTTTGAAATCGTTGTATAATCAAATTTATCATTCATTTTTTGCTTTGGTTGCCTGTTTCTTGTGTAATTCAACAACGTTGATTTTTTTTCTTATGTTCATATTGTCTCTCCTTTTCTGGTCGTCAGTGGAGATATTGGAGATTGAACTTCAGCGCGTTACTAATTGTTATCTTTTTGTTTAAGAAAAGATTCGTTTTTCTCTCTCACTGTATTATCTTGTGTGTGTGTCTCCCTGTATCATTAACGCATTCATATTTTATTATTGGGCAGATCATTAAATATAGAATGATAGTTATGATAGAAGCCACCCCTTGTGACTAACTTAGGGCGAACAGTAAAAGTTTAAAAGAAATTATTTTAAACGAAAAAATTTTGAAATGTTTGTTAACACAGCAGTGATTTTGCATGGGAGAGAAGGTTACCTTTTCCATTCATTCCTTTCTGATAGAAAGTTAGGAATATACTTGGTAAACGAGGGAGAAATCAGGAATTCAGATTTTGAACGGTGAAGATTTAATATCACTTTAAGGTGCCAAAAACAAACACTATTCGTGAATTTTGAGATTTTCAGCAGAAGCTTCGAGTAAAGGTATTTATTACTCTTTTTGGTGAAAGTTGAAACACTAAAGAACGTAAGATACTTTGCTCTCCTGTTAATCATTGACTTGATGTGTTTCCAACATACTAAGTGTTCAAAAAGCTACGTTTTTTCTCATATATCAAATTTTTACCCCTCGGACAACCACAATTACTAAAAAAATCCCCAATTTTTTTCCTATTAGATGGCAGGCAACACCTTTCTGACAAAACATGTCTAGCTAAAAATCCTTCGAGTACATAACTTTCACACAATCATTTTGATAAAGACATTGAAACACAGCATCCTGTCTTTGGTAAAGCAGAAATTATCTTTAAATGAGTTGCATAAAATTTCTCCTTGTCCAAGACGACTCGGTGAAGGGAATATTATTCTAGGATATCCTCATTTCAACGACACTTTTCTTGTCCAAGTCGACTTGGCTAAGCGACTTGGTCAGGGAGAAATATTTTCTAGTCATTCGGTCACGCTCAGATAGGGCGAAATTATTTTGATCCGTTGCGGTCCCTGATGCGCAGCTTTAAAGACCAGCGTAAGCATGCGGATGCGCTGCGGTCCTATTATATTATAATATTAGCTCATACTTACCGTATTGCATTTTGACTTTCGCGTTTTATTCTCTTTAACTCTTGTCGTACGAAGCAACAATCTTAAACGGCGATTATCGTATTCTAAACTGTGAACAGATCGTCAGAAATGCATACTCAAAGAAATTATGTGCTTTTGGTCTGTACTCATTATTTATTTTCCTAAAATGCTATCTGTACAGCATTAAGTTGTCGTTTTTTGTCTCGAGATTACTAGAACGATGGACGAGATTTTGCCGAAGTATTCACTTTATTTATTAAACTGATGTGATCAACTGATTCTTGTTAATACAATATTTGTAGACTGATATTTTTTTGATTATTTTCAGATTTTCTTTTTCGAAACGGTTATATCTGTTTTTTACTTATTCGTGACGCCTCAAACTGTGTTTAAATGTTATGGGTATGCATAAGAAAGGACCACGCCGGATACGTAACGAAATCTGCCACCCTTCCTACACGAAAACGACCCATATATTCCAATAGATTACATGTCTACTAATTTTTTAGGCTACTTAAACAAGAGCAAAATAGGAAAAACTCAGAGAGGTTTTTTGTAACCGACATACTTGTTATACAAAAGTACTCATAGCTCAGAAATGAAGAAGTCTACACGTTAACGGCTTTCAGAAATCGTTGCTTGAGCTTCATTTTCATAAAAAAAATTTTCAAAAATAATCTCTCCAAAATATAACTTTTAACCATAGAATTCCAACGGATCAAATATGAGTTATACAAACATTGTATTTTTCACAAATGGTTGGATTTTTACTTACAAAATACGACTTTAGGACTGTTCTACGAGATAGTTGAGCAGATTGACAAGTGTTATTTATTCCACTCGAGCCATCGATCAAGAGAATCAACCCAGTTCTCCGCCACCAAGCGATTCGATTCTCTCAAACGACATTCTTCGACAGATACAAATCAAAATTCTACTATAGCTTTAAATCGACATTCGATATTCATTCTCACGGCGATTTTCTTCTGTCTTGTGTTTAACCACTTTTCACTTTCGTTGCAGCGTAAAGCGCAGTCGCCCTCGTTAGGGCCTCTTGAATTTTTTCAAGATCCTTTTAGAACTCGCTGTCAATTTGTAAGTGATTAAGTAACACTTCAGAAGTACTACATGCCGGATAAAAAGTGTGCTGGTTGCGAACGATGGAACGCAAAACGAGATATTTCTTCGGAAACTTATCTATGGTGTCATAAGCTTTTGGAAACAGAAGGTAAAACTCTGAACTTCGATCAAGGTGTCTATTTTTGTGGATCGTGTTTCATTCGGTACGATGACAGGAAAGAGGAAGGTCAAAAATTAGTAGCACAAGAAAAGCACGATGAACCAATGGAAACTGACCAGGAAGGCGGCGAGGAAAAGGAAGAAGAAGATCAACCGTTAAGCCTAACAGATGTACTGTATACCGGTTCTGGACACAAGCACTGTGCAATCTGCCGCAAAACCATTGAGGCTGGTTGTGTAGTTATGCCAAAAGCAGCACGTTTAGATCTGTTAGTTTTGAAACGGATGTACGCGTCACATGGTGTTCGATGCTGCAAATCTCATTTGATCAACAATCGTTTATTGCCACAATCAGAGATCAATATGGACACCAGACAACAGCGACTAGCTGCGTTGCCACCTGCAGAATTGGTAACTTTACTTGATGATGGTTTATCACTAATTCAAGAAGCTACTCAAGCACCGCGACTCGATTTCAATGACCCAGGTCTGGTGGACAAGGATTATGAGGCATGGACAGGATGGGCAAAAGATCCGTTCGATGATATGTTTAATATAGCGGAAAGATCGATGCGATCTTCTTATGAATCGACACGTTAGAAATGCGGTGGCCATCTTTTGGATCAAAATGAAAACCAATTTATCGTTTAGACGAATCGGCTTTTTATTTAATGTATGTGGTGATGGCGAGACTCGGCGAAAAATAGTAGCCGAAGCTTTTAATTCAGTAATGGCGATCTTGTCCGAAAAGTTAGTTCCCTATTTTTTATGTGTATATCATTTAACAAGAGATGAAGCAATTGATCACAAGACGGCTTATTCCACGGTGTTCTTTGGTCAAACGGTTCAAATCATTTGGGACGGCACATACTTCTACATAAATAAAAGCAGCGATCACTCATTTCAAAGAGCATCATACTCTGGTCAGAAACATCGCCATCTACTAAAGTTCATGTCAATGTGTTTGCCCGATGGTTATTGTCTTGATATTCGAGGTCCATTTTATGAAAATAAAAATGATGCTAGTATTTCTGATTATATAGTTTCTACCAAAAAAGAACTCGAAGGATGGTGCGAAAACGACGACGTGATGATTTGCGATCGGGCTAATCAACTAGTGCCGAAACTAGAACAATGTATTAGAATTACCGCTGCTGCTTTGAATAAATACAGAGGCGCTATAGTACAGAACAAAAATAGTGAGGAAGATAAAAAACTCGCAGAACTGATGAAAAGCTACGTAGCACAAAACAATACTCTATTAGAACAAGTTGCGTCTGGCAAACTGAACGCACGTCAGAGATGGTTGCCAATCGGTTCAATTGATTTTGACTTTCCCGAGATGGATTTAGATGATCTTAGAAAACTATTTTTCGGCTGTTACCAAATTAAACAAACTACAACATATGCCGAAGAGCATTTAGATGTCCATGGCGACTTCGCTATTCAAGTTTCGCGTGAAAGAGATGACATAACACGCTGTGCTATAAAAAGTCGCCATAGTAATGCTGTCAAATACTATGTATGGATTGAATATTCGTTCACAGGAAAATCTATTTTATCCTGGTACTGTCAATGCAAAACTGGCGCAAGAACTGCCAGTGAGTGTGCACATATCGCAATGCCTATAAGGTACCTTGCCTATGCGCGTCACAATGATTTTTCACCGGCGAAAGGCAGACAAAGGATTAAACAAGCCATAGAGGAACTACAAGGTGAAAGCGACAGCTCAGGGACAGAAAGCGATTAGTGATAAAAAAGCGCACGGGTAAAATAACATAGAATGTTAAAACATTTTTTATATTATCCTAAGAATCAAAGGGAATCGCCGAAGCCCTTAAAGAAGGATTTCTCTATACGTCTACACAATCTTAGCTATGCCGTCGGAGTCGAAAGACAAAGTATGATTCGTTCCTATATACTTTCGACATTATTCTTTTATTCACATTCGATAGGAAGGAGAGTGTAACTCGTAACGGAAATCACACGGTTCAGTGCGCAATGTATTTCGAATTTGTCACAGCTTCCTACATTTTAGGCGTCATTTGACACAAACTTCCTGCTGTTTTTATTTGTTATCCTTGTTTTTCGTTTTGAAACGGTATAGTGATTTATTTTTAAATAAACTGAAAAAAATTAAAAATGAATCTGGGCCGTCTCTGTCTTAGGTATGCGATGGCTTTTATAGCATCGACATACTTTAGGCTTTGCCGATGCAGAAATCTTTGACCAACCCAGTAGTTAATTTAATATTCGTTTTTCAAACCTGAGTTCATCCATCACATTCTTATTTTTCTCATCTCTTTCTTATATCCTTCAATGGTAAAGCAAATTGCAAGAACTTGAAATGTTAAGTAAAAGCTTCACTTTTCTGCTCAACCATCTCGTAGAACAGTCCTAAAGTCGTATTTTGTAAGTAAAAATCCAACCATTTGTGAAAAATACAATGTTTGTATAACTCATATTTGATCCGTTGGAATTCTATGGTTAAAAGTTATATTTTGGAGAGATTATTTTTGAAAATTTTTTTTATGAAAATGAAGCTCAAGCAACGATTTCTGAAAGCCGTTAACGTGTAGACTTCTTCATTTCTGAGCTATGAGTACTTTTGTATAACAAGTATGTCGGTTACAAAAAACCTCTCTGAGTTTTTCCTATTTTGCTCTTGTTTAAGTAGCCTAAAAAATTAGTAGACATGTAATCTATTGGAATATATGGGTCGTTTTCGTGTAGGAAGGGTGGCAGATTTCGTTACGTATCCGGCGTGGTCCTTTTTAACGAAACAAGATGAAGACCAGCGATGTCCGATGTCTTGTAGTCAAGACCTGACCGCATCTTCTCATGGTGAAGATCATTCAAAAAATCTTCTCTCAAAGTAGGTTTATCGGAGCATCTTTGGAAAACGAGGTGTTTCCCTATAGTTTTATCATGTCCATGCTTGGATGAGGAGGTCAGCATGCACTGAACAGATCTGAACGGGAGAGGAAGAAGAAATTTTCTGTACGTATTTAAAGGAGTGCACTTTACCAATCGCAGTCATTCTGGGAAATAAAAACGCATCAATAAGTGGGTTGATTAAAAACAGTTTTATTTTATGTTGCAACGCAAGTATGACCTTGATCAGCAAAATTAAATCGCAATTCCTTTTGTTGTGTGTGAAAGAAGATGATTAGTATTTTTCCGACAAACTTTTCTCTTTTATAGACAGCTCATCCCCAACAGAAGGCACGACAGGTAAATGAAGACTAGTGAGTACAAAAAATAAATAAATTTTTCCATGTTTCTAACCTCCAACAGCGGGTAGCTCCTGTCGCTGCATTTACTAGGCCTGCACTTTATCAATCCACTTATCCTGCCAAATAAAAACGTTTTTCAATCCACAACTGTCACATGAATTATGTACTCACAACGTAGAGAAGAAGTAGGAAGTTTACGTTGCATAAACGAGGAATAAACACGACAGTAACCATAGGAATATATGGAACTACAGGAGCGATAGTAATACAAGAAACATCATTTCAAAACTTTCCTAACAGGTTCCGTTGCTGATATGAAGATCATACGTAAATGAAAAATTCTCGACTTTGACGCTTATATATCTTTTAACAATCAAGGACAGAAACAGCCTCGAATTCAAGAGTCAGATACGCTTTAAAGCTCAGACACTCCTTGCAAAGGGTGCGCGGTGAGAGGAGCGGCTGCTCAGAGTGAGTCCGGTAAACAAGTTCACATATTCCCACATTATATGTTTCTAGTGTTCCTAATCCTCCTATGCTTCCCAATGTCTGCCATAGTTCCTAATGTTCCGATAGTTTCTATGGTTTCTGATGTTTCTATGGTTCCTAGAGTTCGTAATGTTCCTGTACTTCCTATAGTTATTATTGCACCTATAGTTAACATAGATCCAAGTTAACGTAGTTAACATGATACGAAGAGCGTCATCCCGAGCAACGCTGATTGATGGATTTATATCCTAGCAGCCACAAGTAGATAAAAGATAGCGAAAAATAGAAACAGAAATATATATCTTTACATATATGAAAATGAGAAAAATTTCGTTAACTAGCTAAAATGAAAACAGATTCCAGCTGTATCTGTTCAGTTTTGGCTTATTATATACCTCCGTATTCACACTAAAACACATTCAAATATAATTAGCTCTACTTTAAAATCCTATATTACTCGACCTTTATCGACTACAATAAATGGCTTATGTTTCAACAGATGAACTATTGGTACATACCATTATTTGCTCCTACTGCTGCTGTCATGGTCCTTGTTGCCTTGTGGTATTATCTGATGATATCTTCATACTAGATAGAAAAACACCTATGTGATGGCAACCGTGGTGCACATTCCAACTATAACAGTAACACCAAAAATAGTCATAAATGAGGTGGATGGTAGACCCAAGACTCTGGTATCATGTAATGATTTTGAGCTGTAAGAAGCGTGAACTTGTAGATATAGCGGCAGTTATTCTGCTCACTATAAACTATTGAGGTGACGCTTTTCTCTGTTTAAAACCTTCATATATGTTAGAATCTGCTAACAGAAATACGCATGGCAGAATCATTTCATGATCGAGATCAAACTTTCTATGCAACTTGTTTGCGCGTTATCTGTGCTATAAGTGAAGAGAAGAAAAAAGAAAGTCTCGGTCAGAGGTGTGGACAGGACAACTCGATCATCGTGCATCTCAGCGTGGTGGGCTCCTGTCCTGTCATGCAAGCACAAGAAACCATTATAAGTTTTATCTCTCTTGCCACAAAAAATGTTCAACGGTTTTGTTCATGTGAGAGGTACAATCTGTCGGACAAAATTGATCGGGCTGCGAAGCACCAGACGGATCGGCATGTCGTTAATCGGTTCTAAGTCTGGTCCATACTCCTTTACAATCATAACCAGATGTTTCCGTCTGAGATTAATTTACTGAAAGCGAAGCTTTGGAGAAGGTACAAGACGCTAATCGAAGGAGTTGAGGATCAAGGCGACGTCGATGCTTTTAAAAAAGCTATACTAAGTCTTCTTCTCCTAATTCTGATTAATCCTGCCTTGTCATGCAAAACCGGATGAAACATTCTAACGTCACTGGAAAATCTCGTGCACTAGCGAAAGAAATAGTCCAACACTGTTTCTTTTCTCTATCTTGATAAAAGAACTGTAATCATGTTTTTCTTGAGCATACTAATCTTTTAGTGCTTGAGATTGCAAGGTGGACAGGACATGATGTAGTTGTTCTGCATTTTCCTAACGAGAAACTTCATAAAACACGTCATATGCCGAAGGATCCGTCCGCACGTAGCTTACCGACACTGTTCACCTAAAGCTGCGTTGAATTTCTTATGTCGATCATGACATGATTCTGCCATGCGTATTTCTTTTAGCAGACTATAACATAAAAAAGATCATCAGCTTTTTGTATGTTGTTCGCATGCATACATGTGCTTAGTACTACATCCGTCGCAAACTATTGCTACCACGAGGAGGTGTAAAGTTGAGCTATTGCCATCCCCAATTTGACATCTCTTGGAGGTGGAAATAAGTTAACTGAACCTTTTCTAAATGAATTAGCTGCACCTTAGGTTAGAACCTACTGACGCTACTCCACAAAACTATTCGACCATATCCAATATTCGACCTTGCTGATTCCCAATGTGATAGCCGTTTTTGCCCATAGCCCTTACCTAACCGATTTCTCGAAAACTAGTTTTCCAGAATTCCTCAAAAAATCCCCAAGAGTATTTCTCAATAAGTCACGACTGTAGCTCGCTAAATTTTGATTAAAATGAGACATCTCCCAGCTCTGCACGACCTTTCTTTGCAAACTTAACGGAACTTATGCCAGCAGATAAAATAGGTCTTATAGCGCAACCGCAACTACTACAGTCCAAACAGCATCTGTCAGTGCATTGGCTCCTCTTTGCACAGTTTTGACAACGAATACGCGATGTGTACAAAAAGGTTCTACAAGCTGTCAAACAGAAACGATAGCAGAGGAGGAAAAAAATGTAAATAATCAGAAGAAGTTCATCTCCACAATCTAGAATAATATCGACAACAAATAATACTCTAGTGTGGGGTGCAGTAGCATGTCAGTCTGGTATGAGCTTAGATATGTCTAATGAAGCTGTGTGGAAAAATCTCACGGAAGAAATCGTGGAAGATTTTCGAGTACAGGGTTGCGAGAAATGTTTTGCCCGGAGGGTATAGCTCCAATAACAAATGATATCAATATTGAATTTTATACCAAATGAAAGCTCGTGAAAAATGGGGTTAACAGGTACAGTTAATAATCCGATAGACTATTGTCACCTATATAGAACGAAGTGAATTTCTGGATAAAGGCGAATCCTGGACCGGTCAATATTTTTGTGACACAGTTTTAGTTCAACACGTGTTTCCTTTCTTGGAAAATGAAGAAAACGTGATTGACGTGGATGAAGTCATATTTGTTCACGATAAAGCACCGTGTATGGAAGCAAATATGACTCAACAATTGATAAAAGACAACAATATCAAGTTTTGGGGTAACAATATTTGGCCCAGAAATTCACCTGATCCAAACGCAGCTGAACACATTGTAACAATAATCAAAGATGAAGCTGAGAAAAGAATGTTGTCAGAGACTGGAAGTGATCGGTATAGCGAACAAACATTGAAAAATCATATCATCGATGTTTTGCAAAATATGGAGACAGACACAGAACTTTTTGAAAACCTTTTATGTTCATACCCCTCAAGATTACGTGATGTGAAAAAAGCGAACAGTGGTCACACAGATTATTGATTATGCTAATGAACTTCAAAAAGAATAAGCATTAAACTAATAAATCTATCAGTTTAAAGTCAAATAAATTTCAAATAATATCTTCTGAAAAAAAAGTTTTCTCAGTCGTGTATCCTTCCCTATCCTAAAATTTCCAGTAAACCTATAGTCAATGACTATCGATCACATTACCAACTATACCTGTTAACCCCATTTTTCACAAGCTTTCATTTGGTATAAAATTCAATATTGATATCATTTGTCATTGGAGCTTTACCCTCCGGGCAAAACATTTCTCGCAACCCTGTATATCGCGAATGGTGGTTAACAACAGATTGTGTAGTGAAAATTCATAATATTAAGTTAAACAAAATTGATCATTGTACTGGACAATAGACAGAAGTATGAGCGATTTTACCAATTTCGGAACCATTTGGCGATTAATCGCTATTATGCGGAAAATGACATAATACCACGCACATTTAATTTTGAAATACCCGTGCAAATATTTGGAGAAAAGGATCCTTCACTCCGAAAAAGACGGAAACAAATAGCATCCGATATAAGAAAAGCATTTTTTGCAATGCGAAGCGGATGCCATTCAAAAGACAATTGAGGAGACGAGGCTAAAACTTGAAACTCTACGAGAGAAAATACTAAAAATGAAAAAAGAACAACAACAGCTGCTGGATATTGAAAGAGGGACGAGTGAATTTTTGAGCAATTTTATTGAAAAAGCTTGGAATAAAATATTCTGCTTAGAAACGAAAGAAATTGCACCAAATTATGTTTCAATAAATATCGATAATGTGCAAGAGAATTCAAAAGTGCCCCTGAAGGATCTCGATGGGACAGCACCTATAATATCAAAGGGAGTCAACAAATATGGAAGACGAGAAGAAAAAAAGAAATGTATCGGATGTGGCAAAGATGGACACTTAAAATTCAATTGTAATGCAAAATGCGACAGTTGTGGTCCAAAAAAACATCATTCTACGGAATTTTGTTGGATAAAGAATAAAAGAGAGAGAAAAAGAGTAGCGTGTTTCCGATGTGGCAAAACTGGCCACATACAGAGGTATTGCACAAATGAAAATATGAATAATAGAATGAATGGATATTACTCAATAACTGAGAATCCAGTAGCAAAAAATGAAACTATTGAAAATGTGCAATATCGAACACCAAGTGTTCAAAATAATACCATGATCGACAGACTAAAGGCAATCGCGTCTGAATCAGAATATACTCGAGAAAATGAGGATACTCCATTATTAGCACGCCAGCGCCTACCACAACGTACGTGGGCTAGAAATCACCAATTAATAAAACAGTAGGAGCGACTACGACAGCGATTGAATAGCAGTAAAGATCGTTCTGACACGGGAGTACTTGGACAATATAATGAAAATATACGACGAGATCATTTTAATAGAACGTTCTATCGGGGAAATTAAGATAATAAAAATAATCAGACTACTAACTCCGAAATTGCTACCATCTCTACGAATACCAACCCTAGTCAATGACTTCTTATGAGAACTATGCATGACTGGGCTCAAACGGCACCAATACAGGTCTCGAATAGTGTTTTCATCGTGGGAAATGTAGCTCTTGAGAGGGATGAACTAAATATTTTGGAATATGGTTTGAACTCTATTCCCTCAAAAATGTTGAGTATGAAGAATCAACTGAAAGCTGATCTGGAATTGACAGCGGACAGGTATCCCGAACTACAAATGAGCCTTGGCTTAATTCGAGATTCTATAGTATACAATTCAGATCCGTTTAGTCTGAACATGCATAGACCCCAGTATAAGTCATTGAATAACTTAAAACAACGAAACGACATTGTAGTAAAGCAAGCTGACAAAGGTCAAGGCATTGTTGTAATGTCAAGAGAAGTGTATGAAGCTAAAACATATGCATTATTAGAAGATAAAGAGAGCTATGAGGAACTTTCTGAGAATCCAATGTGGACAACATACGAAACTATCCGAGATGAAATCAAAGATTTGATAAAAACAGGGAGTATCCCAAAAGAATATGTTTCAAGAATCCGATTGAGAGGCAGACCGAAACTACCGATGTTCTATATTTTACCTAAGGTGCATAAAAAGCTATGTCCAGGAAGACCAATTGTTTCAGGGATCGGTCACTCAACAGAAAAACCATCAAAATTCCTGGATTTAATATTGAAACCACTTGTTCAAAAATCATCAGAAATCATCAGAGAAAAGTTCAATATCTCATTTTATCATATTCTTGATAGTACAACAAGCTTGATTAGTGAGATTATTGAGTTAAATAAGGAGATAAAGGAAAAATCATATGACTTAAAACAAATATATTTCATTAGTGTGGACAAAGTGTCTAAAGACGAATTGACGAATCGCAATTTTTGGGTGTAAAAATGATGCAACAATTCGCATTTTACCATTGTTTTGCAAATTTGCAGCGAATTCGTAATCCAATGCGAAGTGATGCGAACTAAAAAAAATGATCAAAAACGAACCAAAAAATTGCGTCTTTTCTTCCTTTTGCCAATTCGTAAATTAGGACGAATTCGTAAGAAAGAAATTTCCGGTTCCTACGACTTCGTAAATCGAATTGGTCGACCATCGACGAATTCATGAAATGATCATTTTGGTCCCCAAGAATTCGTGTACGAATTCGTAAATTGACAAAAAATACGATAAAATACGAATTTACGAATTCATAGATGCCAAAGCATAACCGACGAATTCATAAATACAATTCGTAAAATACGAATTGATGTCAGGGACAGGACACTTTTCTCTGAGGTTAAAAATAGATAGATTCGTCTCTTCTCATCGATTCGCATACTTCTCACCTCACTTCGCCGTTATTTTTACGAATTC